CTCTCTCTCTTTTTTTTTGTTAATCCTCACCTGAGGATACTTTTCAATTGATTTTTTAGAGAGAGTGGAAGGGAGAGGGAGAGACACATGAGTTGGTTGCTTCCTGCATGCACCCTGACCAGGGCCAGGGAACCTGCAACCAAGGTATGAGCACTTGACCAGAATTGAACCTGGGACCCTTCAGTTCGCAGGCCGATGCTCCATCCACTGAGCCAAACCAGCTAGGGCCATCTGGATTATTTTTAATTTCTCTGAGCATGTTGTCACCTACCTCTGAACTACTACAAAAGGAAGGTGATTCTAATAACTCATCCCAGTACAACCACTCTACCAATGGTTCTTAACCTTTAGGGGCTCTGAGCCCTTTGGGAATCTGATGAAAATCATGGACCCTCTCTTGGAAAGTGAACACACACCCAGGTGTGGTATAGCAGAGCTGGTGAGTCGCCAGCCCCTGTGGCGGACTGTGGACACCTGTGCGCTGCGCATTGTCATATCAAAATGAACACATAAGAGGCCTTTTTCTAATAGGAAGCCTGAAAACAGGAATAGCCTTTCAGATCTTAGACTCCTGAGTTGTACGCCTCTCGGGAGGAATGGGGCTCCTTCCTGTTTGCTAACGTCAGCCTTGACTTAACTGTGTACAGTAATTGGGGAACTCAGGTGGTTGGATCTTATTAACCAAGAAGAATTTTTTTATGGTTTAAAAGTTTTTAATGCATTGATTCAGTCTAAATGCTTTCACATGAGCTAATTATTTTAAAGTTGTTTTCCTTAGCTTAAAAGAATCTACTGAATAATATTCATTGGACCATCAATAATAAATATTCTGTATTTTCAGGTATGTAGCCTGGAGTTTGACAGAAAAGATATAAGTATGAATAAGTTAGTAGCTACGTCTCTGGAAGGGAAGTTTCATGTTTTTGACATGAGAACACAGCACCCAACCAAAGGTTTTGCTTCTGTTTCAGAAAAGGTAAATCTGAGGGGAATGCTTTTCTATGAAGAGGCATGTTCTTAGCTTGTTTTAGACTAATAAATAGTCTAAAACTAAGACTATTTAGGTGCCTTCCAGGTCTTTATGGGAAGGGAGCTATTTTTAATATATCCTTGTGGGATCTTGACAAGGTTTTCTCGGCAAAGAGTACTTTCAGAAAGCTTACCAGTTTTAGACTTCTTGATTATAGTAAAGGCCTCAGTTGGGTAGGAATCTTATTTTGTAGTTAAGGAGCAATCATAGAAAAAGTAGCTGATGACAGTATGTGATAAACAAAACCTAGCCTTGCATTTCCTAATAAATATATAATATTTGTATTTATACCTAATTATATACTCTTAGGTGTATACCAGTATACATCTTAGTATAATACTAATTATATACTTTTCAAAATATATCAACATATATGTATTGTCATTTAACCACGTTTTATTTTACATTCCAGTTTGTTATATTAAATAAAATTATTTAAAGTGTTAATCACTCTGATTGATACTTTGTAGGTGCTCAAAATGTATTTATTCTTTTATTCACACTTATATACATACATACTTTGCCTTGTTTTGAATAGTATTTGACGAAGCTTAAAAGGAAATGTGGTATTACAATGTTAGAAAAATAGATGAAGAAAGCGGGGCAAAGGGAAAATACTTGTTAAAATGTTGTCAGAAGTAAGGGGATTGCATAAAATCATGCTGAAACGTCCTCTCATTTGCAAGAGAGGGGTGAGAAATGTGAGTCTGAGCTTCCTCCGTTTTAAAAATAAAGGTCGGTTACAGATTTATAGTTTCCATGAGACTAAAATAAATAAGTTGTTCAGGAAATAAAAATTCACTCCTTTTCTCACTCTGCCATGGATTCAGTAGTACTTCCCAAATGTTCCTATTTTGTCTTATTATTACAGCAATTATTATTGCATGTAAATTACCGCCACTGCCTGATGAACTAAATTCTTAACAACATAAATATATTTTGTAATATTGTTTTTACTGTTGTTTCAGAGTATATTAAGTATCTATCAACATAAAGCACTTTACTAAGTTGTTTTATATACAATTGCAACATGTTTCTTATTTACAAATTATAGTGTTATCTTTAAAATTTTTTTCTTTTTTTTAAAAACATATCTTTATTGATTTCAGAGAGGAAGGGAGAGGGAGAGAGAGATAGAAACATCAATGATGAAAGAGAATCATTGATCGGCTGCCTCCTGCACGCCCCGCACTGGGGATCGAGCCTGCAGCCCGGGCATGTGCCCTGACTGGAATCGAACCCGGGACCCCTGAGTCTCCAGGTCAACGCTCTATCCACTGAGCCAAACCAGCTAGGGCTCAAAATTTTTTTCTTACATTTAGTTAATCTAGTAATTGCTTAATCTGACAAATAAATAACTGTTGTATTTTAAGAGATCATATCTCCTCTTGATTTGGGGGTTTTTATCATCTTCCAGCTTAATTTTTTTTAAACTACAAAACAAATTAAAATAAGTTTTAAGAGCTTGAACCTAATCACTTGAGGACTCACACACTTAAAGTGTATATTTTGAGATGTGGTTTTTTTTAAAGTATTACATGTCTCCTTTTTTCCCTATTGACCCCACCCCCAGCCACTCCCACCCCCAAGGGCAAGCTCCCACCGCCCCAGTGTCTGTCCATTGGTTATGCTAATATGCATGCATACAAGTCCTTTGATTGATCTCTAACCCCTTCCTCCCCTACCTTCTCTCTGAGGTTGGACAGTCTGTTCAGTGCTACCTTGTCTCTGGATCTATTTTTGTTCATCAGTTTATGTTGATCATTAAATCCCACATATGAGTGAGATCATGTGATATTTATCTTTCTCTGATTGGCTTATTCCACTTAGCATAATGCTCTCCAGTTCCACCCATGTCAGAGAGGAAGGGAGAGGGAGAGAGAGATAGAAACATCAATGATGAGAGAGAATCATTGACCGGCTGCCTCCTGCACGCCCCCTACTGGGGATCGAGCCAGCAACTTGGGCATGTGTCCTTTACCGGAATTGAACCTGGGACCCTTCAGTCCGCAGGCTGACGCTCTATCCACGGAGCAACCGGCTAGGGCAATAAAGTTTACTTTTTAAAAGTTCAATCTATCTTTATTTTTCCCTTAGGAAGAAGTATGTGGTTTGTATTTTACTTTTTTTGTTTGTTTGTTTGTTTGTTTTTGCTCTTCAGAGTGAGCTAGAGACATAAATGTATGAAATCTATTTGCATAGTTTTTATATGGTACTATAAACTTAGACTTTTAATCTGATAACGTATTTTTTTTTAAAAAAATCCAGTACAACTTTGTTTCATAAAGCAATAAAGAAAAATTAGGTTTTTCCTGATTTCTGATGGTTCCTTCTAAATCTTTGGAGCCATTATAAAGAGAAGGACCAGAAAATAATTACTTTTGAAAAGATAGTTGAAAAGATAGAAGGAAAATTTCCTTATTTGCAGGGTTTCTTTTCTAGGGCAGTCTTTGTCATACAAACTTATAAACAGGCTGTGTGCTTCTCCTGCTGTTTAGGCTCATAAATCTACCGTGTGGCAGGTCCGGCACCTGCCCCAGAACCGAGAACTGTTCCTGACAGCGGGAGGCGCCGGCGGCCTCCACCTCTGGAAGTAGTAAGTGTCTGTGTGCACCCGGCTCCTTTGTGGGTCACTGGTGGGCATGAACTAGGAACAGAGTGAACTTTCCCCCTTATTTTCCTCCTCTGACTTAGTTCATTTTGCTATGATTTTAAATTTTATTGTATTATGTAAGTATTATTTTCTAAGCATTTTTAAAACAAATTTACTTCTTTTACACATACTAAATAGTAACCTTTTGACTCATTTAATATGTTTGTTATTTAGTTGTCTTCCATATATTGTAGTGTGGTCAGGGGCCAGGAACAATTCTCTTCATAGATTTGAAATCAGGGATTTTTGCTGTATCTTTTTTAAAGGAAAACTTTCACCAAAGGCTTTTGTGAAATATTATAATTAGTTTGTTAGAACACTACCTCTAGAAGATAGGAAAAGGGTTGAAATTGTTAGTTTTAGATCCTAGTAATTCAGTTGCCCAAGTTCAGATAACATCCTTGTGATAGAACCAGAACGGAGCCCGAGGGCCCTGATTGGTCTCCAGGAAAAGCCTGTCCTTGAGTTTGCTTTCTGCATACCACAGGCAGGGTGAGTGACGGAGAGCTTCCCATGCCCTGCGCTCTGAATCCCAAAGGCCTGAAGAGGACAGTTACTAGTAGCTACTCATTTAAAAGGCCTGATAAAAACTGCATTACTGATTATCTCTTTCTGTAAACATCACCCAAGGGGGGGGTGGGGAATAAACACAAGCTATAAATGAAAGATAATGTTTGAAAAAAAGAAATAAAAGAAAAATACCATCTTTAATGCTTCTGGGACTTTCACATTTACAAAATACTTTATTTTTAAAAAAATATGTTTTTATTGATTTTAGAGAGAGAGGAAGAGAGAAGGATAGAGAGATAGAAACTGATGAGAGAGAGAGACATTGATTGGCCGCCTCCCGCATGTCCTTTGCTGAGGAGTGAGCCCACAGATGGGGCATGTGCCCCTTTTGGGAATCAGACTGGGGACATCTTGGTTCATGGGCCAACGCTCAACCTCTGAGCTACACTGGCCAGGCTACAAAATACTTTTCTATTTATTAGCTCCTTGTAGACGTTAGAAGGGGTTCTAAAAAATAGGGCTACAAAAGCATTTAGGAATATAGCTGACCAAAAACCAGGAGTGAATGCTTTAGATCAAAACGATGTAGTTTCTGTGAATAGAAAGCAGAGGGAAAGTGCTGAGAGATCTGGGAGAATGCCTGGTAGATAGGTCATTTGGTAATTTCCCTTTTCTCAGCACCTTTGTCCATTGTTCCTCCCTGATGGTTCCAACCCCGTCTTTCCTCTGGGATCAGCTCTGCAGATCCCTGTAAGCCATGCAGTGGCACCTCACTGTTCTACCTGAGGACCAAACCCTTTAGGCTGCTAAATTGAAACACTGAGTCCAAGTTTTCTTAGCAATCCACACGTGGAGTTGTTTTCCTTATGATATGCAACCACGTTTATAGCTGGAATTTTGGACTCTTGTGGATTTAATTAATATCAGTGAAGTTGGGTCTGTATGCATTAGAAATTTGTAGCTTATCTCAAAATAAACTTTAACCTTTCCCATAACAGATATCTAGTCTAATCTTCAAATTGGTTTGGAGCTTTGCTCTCAGTATTATACCAGCAAAGGCGATCTGGTTTTTGCCAGTCTCCCTTGGTAGTAATTCCATTAAATTCTAAGTATTTCTTAAGCACCTAACCAAGAATTCCTAAAGTAACTCATCTAGTTATTTAGAAATTGTTTTATGAATGAATGGCCCCCAACATGCTGATTTTTTTGTTATTGTTTATATTTTGAAAATCTCAAAACATTAACAGACAGTCTGGTGGGTTTAAAAAGTCTTTGTTGCCCTGACCGGTTTGGCTCAGTGGATAGAGCGTCGGCCTGCGGACTCAAGGGTCCCAGGTTCGATTCCGGTCAAGGGCATGTACCTTGGTTGCGGGCACATCCCCAGTAGGGAGTGTGCAGGAGGCAGCTGATCGATGTTTCTCTCTCATCGATGTTTCTAAATATCTCTCTCCCTTCCTCTCTGTAAGAAATCAATAAAATATATTTAAAAAAAATAAAATAAAAAGTCTTTGTTATTTTTTAAATACTAAGTTGCTGCAGCTTTTCCCAAGAGATATGAAAAAAAAATCTGTTGACCATTTATTAAAAGGAATTGTAGAGTCTGAGAGGAAGAAAGAACAGTAGGTTATCTACCTACCGCTTCTTGTATTTCAGTTGCTTTGTATCCTGAAACTCGGCCTTTCTTAGCATTTATAAAATACAGATAGTATCATAGTTGATACCTCATAGGCTTTAAAAGGCCTTTTAAGGAGGAGCAATACCCCAGTATTTCACTAGGAACACATCTCCATGTTGGGAGGGATGTTTCTTTTCCCCCTCTCTCAAATTTAGCCCAAATAGTATTTATAACTTGTTCACCGTCAACTCTTCTTATTTATAAATTTATATTTTCAGCTGAAAGAAAATCACAGGGTTCAGAATGGCTTTTTTTTTGCGTTTTGAAGCAATGATTTTTAGGTCTAAAATCTCCTCCCAGCAGTGCCTGCCCATAGAGTGGTACACAGAGGTCCTAGGATCTGGCCTGGAGCACACGCTATGGATGGATCAAGTGGATCAGGTGTCTGCCATCCATTCTGGAAGTGTTTGGACGGGTTCTGCAGATGGTAGTTGCAGCTTTTGCCTTTGCACACGCTGTATACCTTCTTTGTTCTTGCTTTCAGCGAGTACCCTGTTCAGCGGTCAAAGAAAGATTCCGAAGGAGTAGAGATGGGAGTTGCGGGTTCCGTCAGCCTTTTGCAGAATGTTACGTTGTCTACCCAGCCCATTTCCAGTTTGGACTGGAGTCCAGATAAAAGGGGCCTCTGCATCTGTAGTTCATTTGATCAAATGGTGAGAGTACTGATTATTACAAAACTCAATAAAATTTGATCTGAAGATTTTGGACTTTGAAACCCTCCAGCGGAACACTCATAGAATTTAGAATGTGCCCCGCATCCTCCGACTCTCCTCGGACAAGGCTGGATGTGACTGAGGACACAGGCCCAGATGCAAACCTCAGGCTCGCCTCTCGGTGTGGGATGCCCAGCGGTGAGCTCCAGCCACCTGGCTGGTCACTGCTTTGCTGCTGCACAGGGGGCACCACCGTCTCCAGAGCCAGCTCCGTTCCTCTCCCTCCATTTGTGATAAAAGTTGGTCCTTGTCTGTATTTCACCAGATTTAAATTTGTTCTGCATCCCCAAAGTCCATATTTCATAATAAACACCTGTGTTGCATTTTAGTGTTCACACGGTCATGGTAGGGATCACTTAGTTTGGTGTAGGATGGTTTGCCTTGGTGAAACTACTGTGAATTAACCTTCATAAATACACTTTGAGAGCATTCACTGTCACTAAGTTTCAGTGCAAAACATTACTTCACAAAATTACCATAGTGTGCAGTCAAAATAGATTTGGGTAACTGTGTTTAGCATGGTAACTCATAAAATGAAATACTGTGATTTACGGAGACCTCTTTTTTACATAGAAATGGAGTTAAATTAGTGAGACTTTCCATTGTTGACTACGGTAAGTGATGTTGAGATGTTCAAGTTTTGGGGGTTTTGTAACCTTTTTGTCAAACTTTTTAATATATTTTATGAATAAATTTTTGTTTTTGAAATCTATGGTGGATCTGATTCTTTGAACTTAGTAGTAACAAACACCATCACTTCTTTTGCTTTATAAATGCTTAATTAGCACCTCTTACTTTGTTTCTTCACTGTTCATATCTTTGGCTAACTCAGGTATTAATTGTATCACAGTTTCATTAAGCCTACCCTCCTTCCTGCATTCCAGAGACAGTGCACCTAAAACATTTGTAATATATGAAATTCATGTGATTTCAGGGGTTCTTGGAAAGTCACTTGTTTGGAATATTAAATTCAGAAAGTTAACTTAAAAGAAAAGAAGCCTAAAATCTTGGATAGAATAACACTATGGCCATAATTATGAAAGTAAACTTAAATTGAACTTTAAAAATACCTATCCCTGCTTTTTGTTTGGTTGGTTTTTGTTCGTTTTTAATCCTCATGTGAGGATTTTTTCCCATTGATTTTTAGAGAGTGGAAGGAAGGTAGAAAGGGGGGAAAAGAGAGAAATATCAATGGGAGAAAGACACATGGATTGCCAGAGAAGGGCCTGGCAAAAACTTGGAGTGTTCAATTATGCTGAGACTCTACTGTCGCATCTGCCTGACCACTTTTGGTGAATTGTCTTCCCCTGGAAGGAGGCACTCACCTAAAGACTCTGTGCTGCCCTGACCTCTTGTGGGGAAATGTGGGCATTGCAAAGCTTTCACCACAGAAGAAAATGATTTTTGTCTTTCAAATGCCGCTGGCAAAATGTTTCCTGTTCAGTTTACTGTAGGCACACATGTCAAATTGGACCTCAGAAAAGACATTATCTTAGAGAAGTTTCTTCCCCAAATGAGTGTTTATGAAAAGTCACATTCTGTATGTGATAACATTTCAAAAGTCTTATGATTAGCTTTATTCTAGATTTAATCTTGTTTTTAGTGCACCGGGAGAGCTGACTTCCAGGAGGAAACATTGGGCTTTTTATAAAGTGAGGGCTTACCTTGTACACTAAAATAGGATATATGCCTCCACCTCCCACCACCAATCGATTCTATAAGTTCTCAGCATAATATGAAGTAGTATTTCTCAAAGTAAGGACTTCTTTATACCACCACCTAGCTTCCTGCAAACATTCTAGAATCCCCTCCCCCACCTGACCTTCCTTGCTCTGAATTTGCATGGGATATGGTCATTGTTTTTTCAAGCTATTTCTGCACGAACAAGCCAATGAGCAGGCCTCCCATCTAACCTTTTGGCTCAGTGGACCACACAGCTAAAATAAGCAACACAAAATAAACAGTGTGGTCAGAGACTCACAACTCTCCCTCACCCAGGAGGCTGAAGGCACGCACACTTTCTGCTCATTTTAAATCTTCAACTTTCCTTCTGCTGAAGAATGCTCACACTGGGTCTTTTGTAGCAGATGGGAATGTCAGCTCTGAGAGAGCCCTTGCAGTCCAGTGAGCCCAGAACCCCTTAGAGACAGACTCAGGTGAGAGAAACTCAGTGTGGCATCTCCTGACCCCTCGTCCAGCACTCTTCTCCCTGTGCCATTTAAGGAGTCCACTCCACACTCCGTTCTGCACCTACCCCCCCCCCACCTCCCCGCCCCGGCATCTCTCAGTCTAACCAAGCCAGAAACAGATCAGGTGCGCAAACAACACCACAGGTCAGAGGCGATAAGAGTGAGCAAATAAAGGAGCAGGAAGGAACAGAAGCAGCGGTTTGGCTTTCAGCACCCTGCAGATAAACAAGTGTTTGATCTGGGCTGGGCACAGCCCCTTATCTGGTGAGAGATAACATTCACACTCGGCGCCTGGAACAGGTTTGGAACCCTTTGAGTGCTGGCCTGGCCCTCACACTGGCTGAGCCAGGGCTCCCACAATGGGCCAGGGAGGAAAAGTTACCTCCCACCCAGGGTCCCTGAACTCCTGGGAGATCACGGAACCTGAGGAAGACAGACCCAGGAATCTGAGAAGTGTCTACTCACCACTAAGGGCCAATGGGGCTGCAGATTTCCCAAAGCCGTTAACAGAGCTCGGTGGACAGGAGAGACTGCAGAGGCCTCACTCAGTTCTACTCTGCAGGTGATGGAAGAGAGTGGTGAGGAGTGAGACCAGAGGGAGAGCCGTTGGCATGTCTCAGGAGAGGCCTGGCTGAGAGAACGTACATAAAGATATTGACGATAGCAGCTAATATTTCCTGAGCACTCACTCCGTGCCAGGCACTATGTTAAGTGTTTCTGCTGCATTATATTCTTTGATCTTCACCATGAAACTCTGAGGTCAGTATTATTGCAGACCTTGGCAATTGAGAAACAACCCGGAGAGGCTAAGCTGCGTGCCAGAAGCCCCGCCACTGCTGACGGGAGTAGAAACATGGCTTGAGCATCTCTAGTACTCAGACTCTTAACCCATATATTTTTAATATATAGATGGCAGCTGTTTGATGCATTTTTCCCAATCAGTTTCACTCTTTTGAGGCCATAAATCCTATTGATTTGGAAGGGATTCTGGTGAAATCAGGAGAGAGCAAGGAAGCACTGAAAAGGGAGGGGTGGAGAGACCCTGGGTGGTGGCCTGGCAGGGGCTGGCACCGGTTCCCATCGCACCCTCCCTGCAGCCCAGTTATTGTCTCCCACTGTGCTCCCCACGGCCACTCTACTCCTTCGTCGGAGCCCCATTTCAGCACACGGTAAAGATGACATTGCCAGCCTCCCTCTCAGCTCTGTGGCCACCACAGACCATGAGGATGAGCCTGTGCTGCAGGGGTGGCAGAACCCAGGAGGTGAGGAGCCTGGTGCCTGAGGATTTGGGGGCCACCAGGCCTGCCCGAGCCCGTTCACCTGCACTGCCTCTCCACAACCAGCAAATGAGCTTGTTTCTTGTTGAAGCCAGTGATAGCTTGTGTGCACGGGTACCTAGCCCAGACTGCTTTTTCCCCCTGTTCTTTTTTCTTTTTAATATATATCTTATTGTTTTTTTACAGAGAGGAAGGGAGAGGGAGAGAGAGTTAGAGACATTGATGAGAGAGAAACATCAATCAGTTGCCTCCTACATGCCTCCTACTGGGGATGTGCCTGCAACCAAGGTACATGCCCTTGACCGGAATTGAACCTGGGACCTTTCAGTCCGCAGGCAGACACTTTATCCACTGAGCCAAACCAGTTAGGCTTCCCCCTTCTTTCTACAGAGGAGGAAATAGGCTCAAAAAGAGTAGGTAACTTGATCCAAAACCATGCAAGCATTTTCTGGTGGAATTCAGACTTGCATTTGTCTATTTGACCCTCGAGTTCTTTGTCTTTCCTGGACTGTCTATATTTATAAAAGTAACAGGAACACGCGCGTATGTTGTGCTTTGTAACTTGAAGATGTTTTCTTATGTTTTATGCACTGTGTACGGTTGGGATTTGGGAGCTGCAAGCATCAGAAATAGACTCTAGATAAACATACTAGAGAGGACTCTATTGGGAGGATGTGCGTGGTGTAGCAATCGAAGAAGCCAGGTCACTAGGGATTTATTATAGGGGTTTGATTTTGGAAAATCGTGGGAGCTGGTGAAGCAACTCTATAAGGCTGCCGTCCACAGGGAAGACAGCTGGGAAGGAAGGTGAGTACTAAGTGGGGCAAAGCCAGAACCAGCTGGGACCAATACATGCCAGTGGGAACCACAGAATGGGCCAAACCCCGGGGCCTCTGACCTTGGCAGCATAAATCAGGACCCTGCAACATGGTGCTCAGCACACGTGCCTGGCCCAGATGCTGAAGGAGGGGCCTGGGAAAGGCAGGGTCGTGGCAGGCAGGCCGCTGCCTCATGCTAGCCAGGTGAGCCAGCAGATGAGCGACAACAGGTGCTTGACAGGGCGAGAGAAGTCTTGACCTGGGCTTGAAGGGGGTCGGACAGATCAGGGGAGGTTGCCTGGAGTGAGGATGCTGGTGACGGGATGTGTGTGCAGGTCGGGGAGAAAGAGAGATGGCTCAGGGGAACAGAAGGACACTGAGCCTTTTTGGGTTCGAGACACAAGAACGTAACTCACACTGGGCTAATTCATTAAAAAGGGGAGTGTGTGACAGTGACTTCCCGGGTAAGTGATCTCCTGGGGTGGCTGCAGCAAGAGGCAAAGCTCACAGGCTGTGTCCCTGAGCCTGTGCTCTCACTCCTCTGCTTGGCTGCCTCCACAGGCAGCTCCCCCGCCCCCACGCCCCGTGGGGGCCACAGTGCCAGGTGTATGCCATCCCAGGTGCGATACCCCAGTGGGCATGTTCCCTCAGCAGTCCCCACCTGGCTCGACCCATGCCCCGCCTCCCTGAGCTCATTGTGATGGCCGGGGAGCAGGAGTATTCTCCTTTGCAGGCCCATGGATATGCCCACACATTCCAAGCAGCATGGAGGGGGTTGGGGTGGCTCCCACAGCACAGTCAGGCTCGTGTTGTCATGAGGAATCAGGCGCCGGTGGATGGTGGCCAGAACAGCAGGTGCTTTCAGGAGGCTCAGTGCCCCCCCACCCCACCTCCCGCCCCGGCCTGCTCCACACGGGCTATGGGTCTAGCTCCAGGTCCGCACCTGTAACCTATAAAACGGACCCATCACTGGGATAGGACATGCATAGACCTTCTGGCAGCTGAGGCAGTTCCCCTCAAACCTAAAGGGCTATTGAGAGGAAACCAGCCAGGCCAGACAAGCGAGAAGATATCTAGAGCGAGAACACGGGAAACTGACACTGGGGTAGGTGTGGGCAGAGCCCTGAAGAGGACATAGACACAAAGATGGCAACTCCCAGGGGGTGAGGGCTTCGGGGGAGGGATGCCCCAGTGGTGCCACATGTGGGTGCTGAGGAGTTGTTTGATGTTGGCCACAGGGACACCCCTGAAGGATAGACAGCTGGCAGAAGAGTCTACAATGGCCTCAGCTGCAGGCCTCAGCCCACAGAGACTCATTAGCCACGGCCCGGAGGCAGGGCTGCTGTTCTGCGCTGGGGCCCCCTCTCCTCGCAGTGCTGTTAGCCAACCTGGGAAAGCCCCGGGAAAGGGGACCTGCTGGCCATGGGG